CTATAAAGGAACAACAGATGGCTCAGGGCAGGAAAGGCCCTCAGGAACACTTGGGCCAGCCTGTGTCCAGGCAGGAACAATGACCAAGCCATGGGGAAGCCAAAAACAGGGCCTGACCTCCTGCCTTCCCATCCCAGGCCCTGGCCAAGCCCCAACATGGCCTTCCTAACCCTTTCCTCCATTTGTGACCATACTGGGTAAACATGTCACTCTCTAGATGTGACACTCACCTCCCACCTACAACCAGCTTGGGAAAGGTGCTCAATGCAAGGCCTCTGTAACATGATCCAACAGAAGGTAGATATCAGGACATGTCCGTGAAACAGAGAACCATCTGTCCTGGTGTAAATTCACCTGGTGGGGAATGGGAGGGCCCTTCCCAGATGTCAGTCTCTCAGTGCAACTGTCTGCCTGTGGTGCATGTTTTTCTGTTCAAGCATCTGTGAGCACCTCTAGGCCTGTGGATGTCTTTGTGTGTTACTCCCTCACCAGGTCTCTCATTCTCACCATTATCTTTCTCTGTGTGCTAGAATTTATACGCAGATCACTCTCTCATGGATGTGCCTATGTGTATGTACTCCTCATACATAGAAGTCTGTACATCAATGTGTGTGTGCACGCGCGCATGCACAGGCGTGCGTGCGCGCGCGCACACACACACACACATGCATATCTCGGTTGTCCTCATTCTAAATGTTACTATTTACTTTTCCATTTTTACTTTCTCCCACTCAGTCTTTTTCTCTATCATATATGTCTTTCTTTGTGTATCTCTATCTAAACACCTATTTCTCTGCTGATTTGTCTCCTTATCTCTCATTCTAGCCATTGTCCTTTCTGGTTGTCCTCACCCCACCAATTCTGCCTCTTTTTAATTCCCTCTATGCCAACTTCTCCCAGTCTCTTTTGGTGTTCCTTCTCTCCATGGGCTTGTCTCTGTATATCCCTCTGTACGTGTTTCACTATGTCTTCTTCTGTCTCCCTGTCTACATCCCTAACCCCTCTCTCTATCTTTATTTCTCTATGAATATACATCTATCTCATCATAGACATGTTTGTATATTTGTCTCCTTCTATGACTGGATATGTGACTGTGTCTGAGGGTTAAGTGTATATGGGCACGTGTCTCTCTGTGCCTCTATTCGTTTTGCAGGGAGCAAAGTTGGGATGAGTGTATAGGAAGAACCTGGTTTGCATATATTTTGCCTCTGGGTCTGGATATGTTTGCACAAGTATAGATCTGTACATGTATTTGTGGACCTGCATGTGTTCACAGGTGTGTGTGTGTGTGTGTGTGTGTGTGTGTGTGTGTGTGTGTGTTCCTCCATGTCTACTTCTTTGTTCCTGGCTCTTTCCATGTGTACCTCCCTCTCAGTCTCTATCCCTGTATCTGACTTTCTCATTCTTTCTTTGGTATGGAGGTCTGTCTCTCTAGATGCATGGAGTGTCTAGCCCTCTTATGTGTCTTTCTGCAGGTCTCTGTGCACATGTCTGTCTCTATGTTGCTTCTGGTATCTTTTTGTTTTCATTATCTCCCTCTCTTTACATGCCTCTGTCATTTAAATCCATCTTTCCTTTCTACTCCCCACCAATCCCACCATTTCCCAGTTCTTTTTCTAGGTCTATTCTGGTCTGTATATCTATACCTTTTTCTCAGTGTCCAACTCTCTCCAATGTCTTTCTCTCTTGGCTTTACTTCCTCTCCCTGACAGTCTATCTCTTTTTCTCTCAATTTCCCTATTCTCTCCCCATCATCCTTCCTTTAGTGCCCTGGGTTCCATACAGGCCCAAGTTTGAGCATCAGCCTACCTTGCCTCACACAGGGTTGATCCCCACAAGTCCCTTTCCCTTATCTGGGCCTCAGTGTTCTTATCTGTAAAAGAGATATGTTCACCCCTCCCTCCCCCAATAGTTCTGGTAGGATGAGATGGCACCAACACCAAGCATAGCCCTGTGTATTTGGTCCATAGCTCTAATACTCAATGCATGGTGGTGATTCTTCCTACATTCACCAATACATATCACAAATCACAAAACCCTTCCTGAACTGCTCCTCTCTTCCCCAGAAGGGTAACGTGAAGCTCCCAGAGTCCTTCACCCAGCAAATCCCCTGCCCAAGGAAGGAGCCTGAGCCCCATGACCTCCCTCTAGGCCTTACCCACAACACCCACACGAATATGGGTGTGCACTTCACCAAGGCGGCAATAATTCCCCAAAACCCTCATGAGGTTTTCAGCTCCAAAGCAGGCTTTGCTTTTCAGCAGTGACTCAGAGGCTTGATCCACTGGCACAGTGCAACGATTCTGGAAAATGAGGGGTTATTACAGAAGAGGCATCAGGTGGGAAATGTGGTCTGAGTCTAGATCTCCAGCTTTCAGTGAAACTTTCAGGGCCACCTCCCTGTGATCACCAAGATCCCCAAGGCTGAAACTGAGGGCTTCTCACACAGGTCCTGAATACCTGACATTTGCCTGCTTGCACAAGGCCTCTTTCTCCACTGTCACTGCATCTTCAGTCTTCTCTGTCCCTCCCTCTCTCTAGACACACAGATCTCTTGCCTCCTTCAGCAGGGGAAAGATGGCATCCTGGCCTCTAGTCAAGCCAGGTTTGAATTCCAGCTCTGCCTCTCACAGGTGTGTGTGCATCAAATCCTGCTCCCCTTCTCTGGGCCTCAGTGCCCTCATCCACAAAACAGGTAAACTACCTTCCCTGCCTGTGCTGGCAAAATAGTGCCTGGCCCATAGCCTACTTTCCCTTGATCCCTCACATAGGACAAAGCCACTCCAGCCTCCAACTCCTTACTCCTGATGCCCTTCCATCTCTTCCTCTTTCCTTACTCACCCAACACAGCAATGCAAAATAGGAATTAAGCTAAATATCCATCAGTAAGAAATAGGTTAAGGAAATATATCCTTAAAGTGGAATACAAATGAAAGAGAGATGTCAGAAAAGGATGCTCACCACGTTTTTTTGCCATAAAGAAGGCCAAAAATTATAAATGAGATATCAGGTTTCTCCCAAATGAGTAAAGATTAAAAGGTTTAATGATATCAAATGTTGGAAAGGATGTAGGGAAATAAGCCCTCACACATTCATCTACCCCAGTGGTAGGTAGATAAATTGGTATAGCCACTAGAAGAGAGGCAATTTGTCAGTGTCTGGGAAAATGTAAAATACATAAAGTATATGACCTAGCCATTCCACCTCTTAGTACCCAACCTATACAAACACTCACCCACCAGCCAAGATAACATGGGCAAGGGTGTGTGTTAAAGTACTGCTTAGAATGATTAAAAATTAGAAACTAACTTTATTTAGCATATGAAAAGTACACCTCTACAAAAAATTTGCCACAAAAAAAAGCAAGCCCCAGGATGACACATATGAATGACACTTCCAAACACTTCCTTATCTATTTCTCTCTATATATACATCTACATATATATATAAAACAAAGAAAAACATCTGAAAAAACAGCCACCAAGCTAACAATGGTGGTTACCTCTGGGTATGGATAAAGGAAATTGGAATTAAGGATACTGATGAAAAGTTACTTAACCTGTCTATAATTGCTTTTATTTTTTCTACTTTAGGAAATTCTGCACCTAGTGCAAAACTGAAAACACGTCCCGCAACACTCAGTTTCTCTCCTCAGAAGCAACCATGTTACTATAATACTTTAACATTTTACAACAAAACTGTGTTTCTGTGTTAATGATATAATTAGAAAGTAGTGTGATTTGTGTTAAACAGAAAAACAGAGACATTTTTTTAAAAGTTAACAAATAGTTAGCTATATTTTCCAAATTTTCTAGGGACAGTATGTATTATCCTTACATATGGGGAAAAAAAGACTTTCCAAAAATCTAAAATATAGAAAGGAGTAAAGTGAAACAAATATTAAAAAGTCATCTAGTAAAGCAAAAAGCTCAAAGTTGAGGCCCAGTTCAATTACTAAAGGGCTGGAAGCCATAGTCCAAGTTATGACCCTCCAACCCTGGCCCCAGGCTACCCTGAAAGAGGCTAAATGCCCCTAGCTCCAGCTTACCAGGTTTTTGACCTGATGCTGTGTGCTGGCCTTGAAAGCCACCGTTGGCAGCTCATTCCGAAGGTAATCAAGCCACTTCTCCACAACCTCTTTGGGGACCAAGTCTGGGGAAAATAGAAAAACATAAGACTTAGTAAGGAGAACATCACTTTGATGGCTCACTCCAAATATACATCCACCCACACCAAGGCTAGGCCCACCTCCTGCCAACAGATGTCTCTCCCTCACCCTACCAGTATCTGTCCAGTTCCCAGGTTAGAATTAGAAAGGACAATTTACTCTAGGGGACCAGTTGGCCCTCCCTGAGGGGACCTCTGTCCCTTAGGGAAAAGGGGCAAATTAACTGTTTGGTCCCAGATGCCTTCCTTCCAAGCAAGGCTTCCTGAAGATTGTGTTTCCCATCCTCTCTGTGGATCATTCTAGGTTGGGCCAAATGTCAAGAATAACTCTGAAGAGAAGATGGCTACCATTTGTAGAGTACTAACCATGCACATACCAAGCATTTTATCATGAATTCTCACAACAACCCTATGAGGCTGGAACAATCACAGCCCACTATACAGCTAGAGAAATGGAAGCTCTCAGGTGACATGACTTGTCCAAGATCCTAGTGAAAATGACAGTACAACTGAGATAAGACTCAGATCTCAGTGACTCTTGAGTCCATGTGATCTTGTGCCCTAGTCTTTGGGTTCCAGCTTAGGGTAGACAGGAACTCTCCCAACTTCTGTTATACGGTGTGTGTGTGTGTGTGTGTGTGTGTGTGTGTGTGTGTGTGTGTATCTTTCAACAATTAACTTTACCTCTCAGATTCCCGGCTTTAAAAACTGGATAAGAATTCCTACTTTGCAAAACTGTTATAACTACCCTTGAGTTGCTGAGTCTCAGGGTCTGGTTGGAGCTAGTCTTTCAAGGTTTGGTCCCTGCCCTGCCTTATCCAATTCTGCCCAACACCTACCAATCTTGTTCAAGACCAGGACCAGCTTCTTGTTGCCTTCTGCCTGCAGGACAGCCTCCTCCATTTGGAAACAGCGACAGCCCAATGGGTCTCTGGCATCCAGGACTTCCAGAATCACATCAGAGTATTCCACCACCTTCAGAGCAGAGGACAGAGGATGAAGGCAAGGAAAGCATTGAGCATCAATCACAAAGGCCCAGGAAAGAAAAGGTCTCCGTCTCAGTCAGGAAAAACAGAAATGGAGAAGAGATGGGACAGGATTGGTGTCCTCCCTAAAGAGCCTTAAGAAATGGGTCCCAATACCTTACGGAACTCCTTGTAATAAGCCTTCCTTGTAGCCTCATCATCCAATTGAGGAAACATATTTAATTCCTGCAAAACTTCCTCCTAAAGGGAAAAAAACAGAGAGAGAACGGTCCAGGGAAGAAAGAGGGAGTGAAAGTCAGGTCTTCGGAAACCATGACAGGCTGAGGGAGCCATGGGAATCCCAGCCCACCAAAGAGTAACTCTGACTAGCCAATAAAGCTGGGAACTGAAAGAATGGATAGAGCTACATGGTGCATGTATGTGCCTGTGTGTAAGTATGTGCTCAAGTACTAGCTAGAGACCTGAGTATGCATCTGTGTATGTAAGGAAAGAATGTGAGAGGGAGGTATAAGTGAGAAAAACAACCTGTGGGGGGAACATGGGATGGAAGAAGCAAAATATGCACTTTATGTTAGAAAAGGAACTTTGAATTGGAAAGTGCATATTCTGTGAGATGAGAATACGTGCCAAAAGGGCAGTAAGAAGTCCAAGAAGGAAGATGGCACCCCCCTCACACGCACTTTTCTGTTAACACTTCCTTCACACTTATACCTTCTCTCCCCCACTGTCCCCTGGTCTTAGGTCTCCCTTCTCCTACTCCCAGCCCCATATTTGGGTTCCAGCTTAGGGGTTTTCCAGTCACAGATAAGGCTCGAAATGGCCATCTGCCTCCCTCTCATCCCTCCCTTCTTCCCTTTCCACAGTTTCCCATCTTCACTGCACTAATTCCCTACTTCCCCTCCAACAATCTCACATCTTCCTTCTTTCCCTTTCAAGATGCTTCTGAGCAAACCCAAACCAGTCTGACCCAGAAGCAAAGGCTGCTCTCTTACCTTGTGCTCAAACTCCTCCTGGCGTTGCAGGGCATCCTGACAATAGCTCTCGATGGTCCTACGTCTGTGTCTCTCTTGCTCCCGTGCAGCCTGTTGCTTCTCCCTCATCTCTTCAACCTAACAAGTGAACACACACAGGACTACAGCTGACTAGATCTGTAGCCTAAGGGAGGGATAGGAGACCTCGAATAACAAGGAGCAGGTGACAGAGGGAAGAAACAGTGTTGATATGGCAGAGGTAGGAGGAACAGGGATACAGGGAGAAAACAGATATAACAGCAGGGGATAAGGGGCTTGAGAGAAAGGAAACAAGAGATGAAGGAAGGGAAAGTGTGGCAGAGAACAAAAGAAAGAGGGCATGTGAAGCTGAGAACATGTTCTGGGAAAAGGGAACCAATTAAGACCAGAGTGAGAAAAGAGAACAAGCTCCTGGGATGCTCCATCATTTAAAGAGCAAGAAAATGAAGCAGCAGCCAAGGAGACTGGAAAAGAGGAAGGAAGACATCTAGGAGAGTGAAATGACAAGAAAGTCAAAGGGAGGGTGTTTCAAAGAAAGCATGGTCTCAAATCCTGAGAATTCAGATGAGATGACAGAAGGAAACTATCCATGAGTGTGATGTCAGAGAATGAGCAGACAGTGAGGCTGACAGGATTCAGTGGAGCAGCAGGGCAACAATGGACTGGGAGGTGAGCAAATGGAGACACTTAAATAAAGTATCAAAGTGACTACCTTCTCTTCTTTATTCTGCAAACAGCCTCAACAACCCTAACAACTCTGGTCTTTGCCCTTCCCTTCACCACTTCTGTGGACCTGGCAGTCAGGACAGGCCCTCTCTCTCCCCCAAGGTCAAGGGCTTACCCTCTTCTTCTTTAATTCAGCCTCCCGACTGGCATGATCATTGGAGTGAACAAACTGGGGAGCAGAGGCTACTTTGGAAGCTGCTTTCTTTCCATTCTGCTTTGTAGGCTGGTCACCGCACAAGAGGAAACAATCAAACAGAGCTAATGAATCCATGGAAATCACCCATCCTGGAGGGTTGCTCAAAAGTAAGCAAAAAGAAAGGCTCCTTTCCCACAGGTCTGCCCATCTGGCTCGAGAGAGACCCTCCCTCTCCTAGGCGGGGGTTGACTGAGGAACCCCAGGAAAGGTGGAGACAAATGGAAAAGTTTCTCAATTAAAGGCCAAGAGAAATGCTAAGTAGCTCTCAAAGTGTGGTTCTTGGACCACAGCAGTGACATAACCTGGGAACTTGTTATAAATGTAAATTATGGAAGGCCATGACAGACCTACTGAATCAGAAACTCAAGGCTGGAGGCTAGCAATCTGTGTTTAAACCAGCCCTCCAGTTAATTACCCAAAACTAAAAAAGTGTGAGAACTTTAACACACTAAAATTTAAGAACAGTGCTCTGGACCATCTTACTTGTCTACACCTTTCCTAGCAGGACCAGGATCTGGAGCCAAAGATTATATTTTGGCCTCCCTCCTCAACAAGAGCAATTGGGACTTGGGAACCAGACATACTCAAGTTCTAGCTGTGCTACCTTGAACCTAGGAACTTTCTCACTAAGGCTGTTTCCTCATCTTAAAAATGGGACAATGGCAATCCCTACACCAGGGTAACTCAAGCACAAAGCAGTACATGGCTTGTGGTGGAAACTTAATAAATGCTGACTCTGTACTGCAGCCAACCAGAGAGGGGGGAAAAGCCATATCCTCTAATTCCAATGTGGTGCTCTCTCTGGAATGATCCAACATCTACTGGCATTTGTAGGCCCCTTCCAGGGCAGGCAGTCCTGAACTACCCACAACAATGGGTACAGCTTACCTGAGGGTGGAGCCAACTTACCTTCTTGCAGCCTTTGGAACCTTTACCTGGTTTTTTATTTTCTACAAAAGAAAAAAAAAGCCATTATCCACCTACCCAACATCTGTTTATACCTTAATCAAAGTCAAGTCACTGGGAACCTAAGGAGGACTCAGATACTATGTCTGTCCAGGCTCAGAACAAGAAAGACATGAAGATGGCAGCAACAGGGCCAGAGGAAGTAATGGATAAAATATTTGAGGCATTATTTTAATGCAAACTGAAATAATGCTTATGGGAATTCTGTGAAAAGTGACCTGAGTGCATGCTTGACTCCTCTCTCTCCCCTAAGTTTTGGCTGGGGGCAACTCACCAATTGCCACACCAATCTGAAGTTGGGCACTGACAGCATGGGAAGGTAATCTGAGGAGTCCCAGGTGGCTAAGCCAAGGCATATACCCTCAGCACACAGGGAGAGAACTGTTCCTTCCTGCTGATCCTGCTCTGGCCATTACCTCCAAAAGGACTTGCCCTATTTAGCCAAATTGAGGCCTCCATAAGGAAGCGAGAGCTCACCTTCTTCAATCACATCTGAACAAAGCCCAAAAACTTAAGAGGCCTCACCCTCTTCATGAGAAGTCCCATCTGTCATCCTCTTCACCGCTGGCCTCTTGAGAAACAATGGCTTCCTAATTCTTACCACCTGCAAGGGAGCTAAAGGAATTCCTAAAGGGGGAAGTTCTGGAAGGTCAGGATATATACAAACAAATATAGGGGCAGCTTGGGATTACCAGAGAGAGGCTCCCCAATCACATAAGGTGGTTCACACCAAAGCAGAGTTAACAAAGGAAACAGAGAATTTAATACTATTGTAAATTCTTAAGGAGATTCAAGAAGATACTTCAAAAGAACTGTAAGAAAAAAAATTCCCAAAATTTAATATTAAATAAAAATTCAATAGATGTAGTGAAAAACAGCACAGACATCATTAACAACCAAACTAACAAGCTGGAAGATCAAGGGAAGAGCTTGCTTAAAACAAAACTCTAAAGAAATGGAAATTATGGGTAAAAATACAAAATGGAGAATAGACTCAGGAGAGCTAATATCTAAATAACAGGAGTTTCAGAATGAGAAAAAGGTATAAATGAGAGGCATTTGTTTTTTTTAAATGATAGATGAAAGTTCCTTAAATTGAAAATAGGCTTGAGGTTTCAGATTAGAAAGACTCATGAAGCACCAAGATTAACAAAAAAAGACACATCATAGGCATACTCTAATGAAATTTCTCAACTCCAAGGATAAAGAGAAAATCTTATAAACTTCGAAACAGGAGTTTCCAAAGAAGTGAAGAGAAGCAGACAGCCTTCTCAAATCTACAACTCTGAACATTTAAGACAGAAAAACAATTACAAAGTTCTGAAACAAGACACAAGCTGAATACCTATACCTAACCTTCTTTTACATGAAGGTAAAAGACATTTTCAGATGTGCAAAGATTAGTAGCACCTGAATTCGTGTAAAACTATAGCTGACCCTTGAACAACACAAGTTTGAACTCCATGGATCCACTTATACAGATTTTTTATATAAATACAGTGCAGTACTGTAAATGTGTTTTCTCTTCCTTATGATTTTCTTAACATTTTCTTTCCTCTAGCTTCCTTTATTGGAAGAATACAGTATATAACACATTCAACAAAATACATGTTAATTGACTGTTATGTTACTGGTAAGGCTTCTGGTCAACAGTAGGCTATTAGTAGTGAAGTTCTGGGGGAATCAAAAGTTATGTGTGAATTTTTGACTGCATAGAGGCTTGAGGCCACTAACCCCCAAGTTGTTCAAGGGTAAACTATACTTGAGGAAGTAAACCAGTAAAAATAAAAATTAACTCAGATAAAGATCTCAAGCTAAAGGAAACAAATAATAGTGGGCAGAAAATCTATTAAAGCTTTAAGTTGAAAAAATAACAGAAAAACCATTAAATCTTTTAAAACGCTACTAATGTAGCTAAGAACTGTAACACATATTTAGAAAAGATTTTTAAAGTCCAGGAAGCATATCATAAGGAAATAGCTCAGCATCAAAGTATCAAATCATTTCAACAAAATCCTGGAATCAAGCAATAGGGGTTGGAAAAGCAAAATCATGAAAGCATGCTTAATGTCTTACTTTGGAAGGGCAGGATAAAAATAGTTATTATTTAATTTTGGTAAAGTGACAGAGATATTCAAGTTTAATTATGTTTGATATAAACATGAATGCAATTACTACCATAACCTTAATTACTGGTGGAGAATTTTTTTGAGCTTGGAAAGTAAATAAATAAGAGACTAAGAGGAAACAAACAAAAAATATAAAATAATATGGCAGAAATTAGACCAAACATATTAGTTACCATGATGAATGTTAATGGATCAAATGTCCCTGTAACAACAACAACAACAACAACAACAACAACAACACCTCAAGTCTCCTTTTCTTTCAAAGTACTCATGTTGCAATGAAAAGAATGTGAGGTTGGGAATGAACCAGGACTGGCCATTTTACTCAACAATTTCCATCTGCCTAACTTCCCTAGAAACTGGGGCCCTGTGCTGGATACAGGCACACAATAAAAGAAAATATATCACTTAGTGACGGGGAAAACATCTGCTTCAGAAGGGAGAAGGAAGGCAGGAAGAGAGAATGCAAAGTGAAGAAGAAAGGAAGGACACAGTCATCACTCACAGCACCGCAGCACTCAAGGAGCCATGGTTAACCTGTCTTGTAACAGCTTCAGAGAGAAAACAACTATCACTTTGTAGACAGCCAGAACCAGACCTAGGTTTCCATTCTGGCTCAACAGCTACCTAGCTACATGACCCTGAAGAATTTTCTTAAGTCTCTGTAAGCTTCAACTTTTCCACCCACCACTACTTAAAGGCAGATCTCTCACCCTAATTCTTCCAACTCTCCTTGGAAACAATTCCCCAACCTTCTGCCTTAATGGAGACTCAGCTCTCCTGCTTCACCTTCCTACCTCTGGAAAGGTGGCTGTTGTTTCCTCAGGTACACGAATACTTTGTGGGCCAACAGGTGGAGGAGGTGTCCTCTGGACTCACCATTGCCAAACTAAAACTACTTCTCCTTCTTGTTAAAACAAAGAAATGAAAAAAAGAGGGGGGAAACCCTGCTCTTTTTGAGACTGCTACTATCCCTGTCACCTATGAGTCACTTTTCCTCATTTATTGACACACCTGGCACATAGCTTTACTTTCAATCTGACTCCTGTCATCATCAACCTGGGTAACTTTGGTGACCCCAGGGCCCCTGCCAATATGGGTTTCACACTTCCTCGACATCCCCACTCCATGAAGTCACCTGCCTACCCACTGCAGTGGTGATGCCTATGATCATCATCTGTAACTGACTGGACTTCACATAGCAGTCTCAAACATCCCTCTCAGTCATCTTCAAGCTCATTTGTTCACCCCCTAGAGTCTTCCAAAGTGAAGTCTCCACTCTATTCCTTATTCATCAGCCATACCCCTACTCTCCCTCCCTGCGCAGCACACATTCATCTGTCATTACAATGGATTACATACCTGTGCCACCAGCCACAGGCAGCTATAAATCTTTTAATGTTTATTTATTTTTGAGAGAGACAGAGACATAATGCGAGTGGGTTAGGGGCAGAGAGAGAGGGAGACACAGAATCCGAAGCAGGCTCCAGGCTCTGAGCTGTCAGCACAGAGGCCAACACGGGGCTCGAACTCACGAGCTGTGAGCTCATGACCTTAGCCAAAGTCAGACACTCAACTGACTGAGCCACCCAGGTGCCCTGGCAGCTGTAAATCTTTTAAATGACAAAACACATCCTCCTTTTTAATAACCATTCAAAAATGTACAATTAAAATTGTATTTAACCACTCCTTGTAGGGCTCCTCAATAACCTCCCCAGATTTAATCATTATCATTACCATTTGGGTCCAAGGTATGACTGAGAGCGAGGGTGGCTGCACCATGAGGCACCTCCCCTATCTTCCACTGCAGTCATTCCAGTTAGTATGATCATTACTTTAGCTGCAATTTACCAAAGTCTGTGTTTTGTGAATACATGTAAAGGTTTTGTTTAATATTCACCATTTTTCCCACTCAGGTAGAACAATATGATTGTTCTGTAACAGGTAATAAGTCATATGGTTCCAAACTAAAAAGGTGTATTTTGAAAGGTCTTCCACACTTGTCCCTAACCACTGCACCTCCTCACTGCAACAAGAAACCACTTTATCAATGCAAATGCAAATATATATAATCTTATTTCCCCCCATTTGCTCCCACTGACAATAACATAGTATGTCCTCCTGTTGACAACTTGCTTTTTTCATTTAACAAATAAATATTGGAGATCTCTTCATCTAATATTTTTCCATACAATATTCTCTATATATAATCTTTCCATATAATACTTCATTTATTTTTTATTATAATACTTCATTTCTTTTAAACTGCTAGGGTTCTTTTGTATGCATACACTCCACTTCATTTAACCAGCTAATTATTGTCTTTTCCATCAGTATCAATAATTTTATTATCATCTGGTATTTGATATTCTTTTTTTTTTTAATTTTTTTTAACATTTATTTATTTTTGAGACAGAGAGAGACAGAGCATGAACAGGGGAGGGGCAGAGAGAGAGAGGGAGACACAGAATTGGAAGCAGGCTCCAGGCTCTGAGCCATCAGCCCAGAGCCCGACGCGGGGCTCGAACTCACGGACCGCGAGATCGTGACCTGAGCTGAAGTCGGACGCCCAACCGACTGAGCCACCCAGGCGCCCCTGGTATTTGATATTCTTAAAAGTATAATTAATTTTGTTCATTTTTCTTGTGTTGAAAAAAATTATTTACTTTTGGTATTCACGTAACCACAGTCTGATTCTTGTTGAAATTTTTGTGTGATATATAAAGTAAATGTACTGAATTTTTTTTCACCAGGCCCACAGAGGCAGGGCCACCATTCACACAGAATATGGGGTCACTGGGTTGCATAATTCTTGTCCAGTCTATAATGTCATTTTCTATGTGGATACAGCAAGATAAAGGCAGGAAGCACAGAACCAAACCTGCCTTAATGCTCTTGCCTTCCCTCTTATAAGGGAGAGTCCATGCATCACATTTGTCTTCTCTCTCTAGGCTATAAAAGAATAGTGGTAGGAGGAAGAATTGAGTTAGCACACTGAGACATTCTAGTGCCTGGCACACAGTAAGTACCAAACAGCTATGCCTGGTCATGCTGGGTCCTTTGGACACAAACGAAATGTGGGTGAGAAGTTAACAGCACAGTGTAGGAGACAGACTCGATCATACAGTGTCAATAGTTCCAGTTCCTGTGGGTGCAGATGGTAGAAACCAAGGGAGGAGCTTAATGGGAGAGCTTCCTAGAGTAAGTGATGTGTAAGTTGAAATCTGAAAAACAAGCAAGGATTATCCAGTTGAAGAATGAGGAAAAAGGGAGGAAAAGAGTCTCAAAGGCAGAAAGAACAACAATTTGTCTCCACTGTCTGGTATATACTACTATTCACCTCAGATCAAGTCACTTAACCTTGTTGAGCCTGTTTCCTCAACTGTAAAATGGGAATGGGAGATAAGGGGAACACTACCTCCAAGAAGTTGGTAAGACAACAATGATACCATACATAAAAGACAAGACTAAACAATTTGGTATATTTGACACATAATATTACACTAGTTTCAGGTGTACAACATAGTGATTCCACAAAACAAGTCTATGTCTATGCATTATGCTATGCTCAACACAAGCATAGCCACCATCTGTCACCATACAATGGTACTACAGTACCACTGACTATATTCCATGTACTGTACCTTTTAATTCCATGACTTATTTATTCCATAACTGAAAGCCTGTATCTCTCACTCCCCTCACCCATTTTGCTCATCCCCTCATGCCATACTGAGCATTTTTTAAAAACAGAACTACCCTATGATCCAATAATCACATTTCAGAGTATTTACCCAAAAAATACAAAAACACTAATTCGAAAGGATACTTGCACCCCAATGTTTATAGCAGCATTATCTACAATACACTAGCCAAATTGTGGAAACAGCCCAAGTGTCCATCAACTGATGAATGGGTAAAGATGTAATGTATATATACAATGGAATATTACTCAGCCATAAAAAAGAATGGAATCTTGCCATTTGTAAAAACATGGATGGAACTAGAGTATAATGCTAAGCAAAATAAGTCAGAGAAAGACAAATACCATATGATTTCACTCCTATGTAGAATTTCAGAAACAAAACAAATAAGCAAAGTTAAAAAAAAAAGAGACAAACCAAGAAATAGACTCTTGGGGCACCTGGGTGGCTCAGTTGGTTGAACGTCTGACGTCAGCTCAGGTCATGATCTCACAGTTCATGAGTTTGAGCCCCACACTGGGCTCTGCACTGACAACACAGAGCCTGCTTCAGATCCTCCGTCTCCCTCTCTCTCTGCCCCTCCCCTGCTCTGTCTCTCTCTCAAAAATAAACACTAAAAAAAAAAAAAAGAAACAGACTCCTAACTAAGAGAATAAACTGATAGTTACCAGAGGGGAGGTGGGTTGGGGGCATGGGTGAAATAGGTGATGGGGATTAAGGAGTGTACTTGTCCTGGTAAGCACTGGGTGATATATAGAATTGTTAAATCACTGTATTGTACACCTGAAACTAATATAACCCTCAATGTTAGCTCTACTGGAATTAAAATTTTTAAAAGATAATAATTTTTTAAGTTGCCATGAAATACTACAAATATTCATTAAAGCTTAGCATTGAGAGGGGATAGTAAAAGAAACTCACTGTGTCTATGTTTCATCATGATGACTGACTTGAAAGCAGGTAGGTTCAAATCTGCAGGCTTTCGTCCTGTCAGAATGGAAGAAGAACCAATGTGAAGACAGAGAGGGGAACCACAATGCCACAAGCTCCCTTCTGAGCCCCCTGTAGGCAAAATGAAATGTTAAAGAACATGATAAGAAAGTCCTAACAACTAGAGGAACCAGAAGGGGCTATAATGGAGTTGGGGCCTGGTATAGCTGAATCTACACAGGGAAGGCAGCATCATACTACCCAAAAGGAGGCTATACCTAAACGCCTCTTCCTGGGTGGAGTCACTGCCTCGATGTATCAGATGGGGTCCTGGGCCCTCAATCCTCCATCCTGTAATATTATATACCCTAGTACTAAACTTCTCTATGCTGAGGGGAGAGGGTATACAAGGATGACCTGTTTCTGTATAGGATATTAATAGTACCTCTTTTCTCAAGTAGAGGGTTCTGATCTACCCTGGGAGTGGGGGAAAGAGAGATACCAGAAGTCTACCCTAGGGAAAAGGGACCTCAGAACAATACTTTTAATCTGTGTTTATGTTATACTGAGGCCAAGAGGTCAGTGAAAAATCTTGGGGGCGGGGAATCTATACCTGCATGTATGGGTTGGGATCAGTTCCTTAGTGAATGGGGGTGAGGAGATGCCTTCTGTTGTTCTACTATGGGGTGCAGAGCAACTGGGAAAACCAGCACAGTGGTTGTGTGCATCTCTGGTGCATGGGAGAGAAGTGAAGGGCTGTATATTTGTAAGTGGTCAGGGAGAAGTCCTGGGTCTCTTTGCCCTGCGGAGGGCTGGGGTGAGGGGAAAATGATGTGCCTGTTTCCACTACAAGGTGACATTAGTTGCCACACTAATGAAGGGGGGGAATCATGCAGCTTTGCATGAATGGGGTCTGCACTTTGCCTGTAGTGAGATATTCCGGACCCTTCCGTGGGAGGTGGGATGGGGGATGATGTGTTTATCTTTTAAATGGGTTGAAGTCAGCATTGTGCTAACACTGAAGGGAATAGGACCTCTAGTTCTCCGTACAGGAGTGGCGAGTAGGGACACAGCTATAAGTTCAGTGGATCAGCCCTTACACTTTGGGCAGGCAGGGGTGTCTGTGTTTTTATCCTGGATGGAGAAAGAGATCTGAGCTCCTCCACCTTGGGTATGGGGGGAGCCCATCTGGATCAAAGGTAGGATGATCGGTGATGTCATTGCCTCTCAACACTGCAGGGAGGGGGAGCTGCACCTCTCTGCTCCCTTGGGGGTCTCTCCTTGCTACATCTGGTGATTCTAAATCCTTGAGGGAAGAGTAGGAGAGGGATGATCTCTCAAATCTGAGCCCCTCTACCAGGGGACGGGGGAAGGCAGGCACCAGGGGCAGATCTGACAGCATTCCTGGGTTATGGTCTGTTTCTCTTCGCGGCGGGGCATTTGGGGAGCTGGGCCATTACAAATTCGGTAAACCAGTGCCTCCTTATGGGGTGGGGGGAGGAGTCAAGTCTTATTTTCCACAATGGGGTCTCACTCTAGCCAAGGTGAGGAAGATCTGCGTGTTCTCTAAGGGCTGAGAGGTATGCCTCAAACCACTGAGGAGGGGTGATCTAACATCTCTGCAGTAGCGGGGGCGGGGCTTCTGCAACTGGTTACAAGGGGGCTAGGCAGGGAAGTCCCCCAGCTCTTCTACCTCGGTATATTAAACGTTTCTGAGCTCCCCTGTACTGGCGGTCCAGCCAGGGTAGGCGGGAGTGGACGTGTGCAGAGGGAGTAATACACCAAAGCCTCTGTCCAAGGGGAACTGTTGCATCAAGGCGGATCTGTGTGCCTTAGCGCCGGTAAAGGCCCGAGTCGCTCAGCTTTTGGGGGAGGGAGGTATGTCTCTATAACCGTGGGATCGATGTCGCCACACGGAGACGCCTGTCTACCCTGAAGGGGTGCAGAATGGAGCCTCGCTATCCTGAAGAGAGGAGGGCACTCGATGCTTCTCCACACGTGAGGTCTGTGACTTTCTACACAGTATGTCCAGGGCTCTACATCTGCCTAGATGGGGTGAGGCCGTGCCCCTCTACCCAGCAAGAGTGCATTTGGGCACATGCCCATGTACGGAGCGATCCCTGTCCCTCACCTGGACCCTTCTACCCTGGATGAGAGCTGGTTCTCTACCTCTCTATTTCAAAGTGGAGGACGCCTCTAGTTTCCACCTCAAATACACTAGCCTTAACGCGCGGCTGGCTGGGAGAGCGCTCACAAGGAGAAAAGAGGAGAGTCGTCTCTTACCTCCACTTCCGGCGGGGATCAAAGAGGAGAGAATGGCACCACGATACGGTTGGTCGGCAGGCTGAGCTAACGCGGATAGGCTCCGACTTCCGGATCCCAGCCTTACGGCGCCGGTCCGCCCGCCTTGCTTCGGATTGACGGCTCGCGCTCGCCCATCCCTACTCCGCAGGCGCGCTGGTCCCGCCTCCCAGCTTCCCTGTGCGGTGAGAAAAAAGCCGAGAAGGGGTAGGCGGGGGACCGAGCGGCCGGGTCGACTAGTGTAGCCATATAACCTACTTGTAAGCCTAGAGCTTGTCCGATGACCTCTGCCTGGGCCCAAATATGCGTGTTCCCGAATTTTAGTAACCAAGCAATCACCATGACCGCACCATACAAGGGTGGGGGTCAGTCCCTTTGTCTACAAAGGAAGATGGCGACGGGATGGGTGTGAGAAAATGGCCGCCTAGGTCACATGTCTTGCCGAGTGCTCCCCACTTAAAAGCGACTTGGTTAGCCGTTCCCAACTTCTTCCTGGCTTGTAGGGTCCCAGACAAACCCTGAGGCAGCCGCTCCCAGCGCTTTCTGCCGAAGTTCAAATGCATGGGCAGGCCCAGGAGCTGGACAACTGGAAGCCTCTCCCACCCGTTTGCCCTCTTCTCCTCCTCCTCCTACCTCCTTATCTTTGGCCCCAGAGCGGCAAATGAAGAAAGGAATGAATGTATATCTCTGAAGTGGGTACAAATAAGGATTTCTTTAGAAACTATCTTGAGAAGCTCCTGACCTGGCTGGAGAATGAGGTCTCCCCTTAAAAATAGTAAATATTAGTCTGACAATGATTTCTTTGTGATAATTTAATTGCAGCCCCTTCTTTTCCTCAAACCTAAACTTTGGGTGTGGGGCCAAGTCCCCAGTACCTCGGGTGTGTATTCCTCCACCTCAAAAGTATCCAAGCAGAAACTGATTCCCTCTGTCTACTCCTACCCCTTACATATGCACTACTCATTGTGTCTTCTATCCTCTCGCCCTGGAGACACACAAAACTCTGCACCCCAAACCAGCCCTCACCACCTTGACCCTTCCCCCTGCATTAGCAAATTCTTCCTGTTTAAGACCTAACTCTGGTCACTTCTGTGAACTTTCACAGCTGAGTTAGAAACTCAGAACACCTTTCTGCACTTATCTCTTAATACTGTAATCATTTATATAGCTGCATCTCCACACAAATGGAAATGCCGCCTCACTTCCTGAGACTAGGGGCCATATATCTTCAAGACCTCAACAAGACCCAGCACAAGACTGGTACAAGGCAGACTTCAGCAAATATATGTGAAATGGGTGAGTTTATAGGCCTGCACCACAGATCAATGGAAAATGGACAATTTAGTAGATAGCACTGGGAAATTTGGCTCACCATAAAGAGAGAAATAAAACTGGATCCTGACTTATTTCCACATAAGATAGTGAAGAGTATCTTTGTCACCCACAACTGGGGAAACACTTTTTCAACAAAGTCCCAAATGTGCAAACTATAAGGGGAAAATGCAATGAAATCTTTGATAAGAATGAAAATTGGTGTTACTACTTCGGAAAACAATTAGCAAGTTATCCGGAATAGTTAAAGATGGGCCCTAGGACCCAGGAATTCTACTGGTAATGATGTATATAACCTCTAGACTCTTAGAGAAATTCTTTTTTTTTTTAATGTTTATTTTTGAGAGAGACAGAGACAGAGACAGGTGAGAGTGGGGGAGGGGCAGAGAGACACACACACACACAGAATCCAAAGCCCCCTCCAGGCACTGAGCTGTCAGCACAGAGCCCTACTCTGGGCTCAAACTCATGAACCACAAGATCATGACCTGAGCTAAAGTCAGACGCTTAACCCACTGAGCCACCCAGGTGCCCCTGTCCTAGAGAAATTCTTAAGCATATGCACAAGGAGGCATGTGCAAGAAAATTCATTGCATAACTGTTTGTAATAGAGAAGAAATATCAATCTAAAAGTTCACCAACAGAATGAATAAATTGTGGTACAGCTATACAGCAGCAAAAAAATGAAACAGATGCATATTTCAACCCAGATAAATTTCAAAAACACAGTGCTGAGATAAAATACAAATTGTAGAAGGATATGTAGATTTTTAAATAAATTTTTAAGTAATCTCTACACCCACCGTGGGGCTTGAACTTTTGACCACAAGAGATCAAGAATCAGATGCTTTCTTTACCGGCTAAGCCAGCCAGGTGACCATATATAGTTTTGGTTTTTTTTTAATCTATAAAACAATGCAGTGTGTTATTTATAGATTATATAAATATATAACCAATATTTTTAAGACAAGGGAATTAAATACCAAATGCAGAATTGTGATTAGGTCCAGAGAAGAAAACAAAGGAACAGAATGAGAGAGAGATACACAGAGGATTTCAATTGTTTATCCAATATTTTATCCAGGTAGTAAGTACATGGGTGTGTGTTATGTTATTATCTATACCTATTTGTATGCCTGAAATATTACATAATCTTTTTAGAAAGACTACAAGTATCTATAACAAAATTAATGATGGTTAAATCTAGGAGGGCTTGTCAGAACACTGATTGCTGGGCCCTAGTTTTGTTTCACTAAGTCTGGTAGGGCCCAGGAATTTGAATTTCTAACAAGTTTCCAAGTGATGATGATGATGAAGAAGAAAGAGGGGGAGGAAGAGGAGAATCATCTGCAGCTGCTGCTTGTCCAAGTACCATATTTTGAGAACTACTGACAGAGAAAATGAGCTTATTGGTGAATTTTGTTGTCTTTATTGTGCTTTTCTGTGTTTTCTATGTAGTCAATGAATATGAACTACTTTACGGAGAGGTTTTTGTTGTTTTGTTTTTATTTAATTCACCTTAATCTCTACTTCAAACTCTTATTTCCCGCCTGTAGGCATCCATTCTATGGTATTTTATGCAGATTTTTTCTTTATATGTGTTCTTGCAAAATATGTATTGCTGTTTTATGTTCATGTAATTCCCCCAAATTTTTATGTTTCACATTTTAAAATTCAGAACACTTGGGGCGCCTGGGTGGCGCAGTCGGTTAAGCGTCCGACTTCAGCCAGGTCACGATCTCACGGTCCATGAGTTTGAGCCCCGCGTCAGGCTCTGGGCTGATGGCTCAGAGCCTGGAGCCTGTTTCCGATTCTGTGTCTCCCTCCCTCTCTCTCTGCCCCTCCCCCGTTCATGCTCTGTCTCTCTCTGTCCCAAAAATGAATAAACGTTGAAAAAAAAATAAAAAAAAAATCAGAACACTTGAAAGAATAGTACAATGAAAACCCATATACCCTTAATATTTTGCCAGACTTGCTCTACTTCTCTTTTTATGTGTATGTATACATTTTCTTTTTTGATGAGCCATTTAAAAGTTGCAGGCAATGTAACACTTCACCCCTAAATACTTTGGCAACATCTACAAGAATAAGGACATTCTCCTATTCAACTACAATACCCTTATCATACTTAAGAAAATTTAACAACAATTCAATAATACCATCAAAGGTACCTTATATTCAAATTTTCAAATTGTGGCCAAAATATTTTTAGATCTAATCATTTTTGATCCCAGGATCTAACCAAATTTTATGCATTATGTTTGGTTGTTGTATTGCTTTAACTTCTTTTAATATAGAATAGTACTCCTATATTTTGTGTGTTTTGTATTCCACTAATGTTTTTGAAGAGTCCAGGCAGTTTCTTGCAGAATGTCCCACATTCTAAATTCATCTGCTCTTTTGACATGATTAGATTCAGGTTAAATATTTCCAGCAATAATCATTTGTTTCATATGGTATCACCTCAAGAGGAACATAACATCAGGTTGTGCCACTATGGAGGAAGCTTTATGTGTGCATTTTTATTTTATATAAACGGTATCTCGTTTCTTATTTTTTCATTTGGCTTTGTGTTTTTAAAGTCTATCCATATGACTGTGTACACATCCAATCCATTGCTCTACTTGCTCATGCTAACTACAGTGTGCCTTCCTATTTTCCTTGAATATTCCCCAGTGATGGACAGCAAGATTGCCTCCAGCTCCCTGATACCACAAATAATACTGTGATGAACACTCTTGTGCATGTCCCCTTATTGGCCTGTATGAGAATTTCTTTTAGAACATACACTCAGAACCAGAATGATTGCATCATAAAGTGTGCATGTACTTAGTTTGACTAAGAACATCCATACTGCTAGATGGTTCTCTGAGAGAGCTACACCAGTCCACAGTTTTACCATCGATGTACAAGGATTCCTGTGTCCCTACATGCTTACTAACACTTGACATTTTCCAGATTTCTAGTTTTTGCCAGTATAACAAGTATAAAGTAATATCTTATTTTTAGTTTGCATTTCTCTGATTACTAATGAATTTTTTAGCATCTCTTTATATGTGTGTTAAATGCCTCTTCTGTAAATTGCCTGCTTGTATAGTTGGCCCATTTTTTCCATTGAGATTCCTATCTTTCCTATCTATTTGCTAGAGTTCCTTATATAGTCTAGCTATTAGTATCCTATCAGTTTCAGACACTGCAAATATTCTCTCCCTATTTTAACTTTGTCCATGTTAACCTTTTTTTAAAAAACAGAAATGGTTATATAATCAAATCCATCAAATTTTTGCTCTATGGTTTTTGGTTTGGGGGTTTGATTTAAAAAGTATTTCCCTCCTCCCAGATCACAAAGATATTCTCCTACTTCTTTTCCCATTAACTTTATGGTTTTACCTTTCACCCTTAGGTTTTAATCTATCTAGAATCCACTATCATATGAAGTGATAAATAAGGATACAATTTTATTTTTTCTGCACAATGAGCCATGTTTCAATAATTCTTACTTTTTCACTGATTTGCTGTGCCACCTTTGTCACATATTATGAAACATACACACACAAATCTGTTTCTGTTCTTCTACTAATACTACCTTATTTTTGATACTTTGTAATATATCATAACATCTAATAGGGCAAGTACCTCCATTTAGTATTGTCTTAGCTATATCTCCACATAATTTTTAGAAAGTGTTTATCAAGCTCTTCAGAAATCCACCTGGAATTTTTATTAGAATCACACTAAATTTATAGATTAAATTGAGGGAGTTGACATCATCAAAATATT